GAGAGAAAGAGAGAGAGAGAGAGAGAGAGAGAGAGATAGAGAGAGAGAGAGAGAGGAAAGGGACAGAAACAGAAAAGGTAGGGGGGGGAGAAACACTTTTGTGTGCACGCACAAACGGGAAATGGTGTCTCCGGTGGCAGAATTGATTACTCATAAAAAGCCTTTCAGAGAACTGTCAGTATTGCCTGGACTCACGGACAAACCTACTTAAAACAAACTCAATCGGGAACACTGTCTACGACAGACAGACAGACAGACAGACAGACAGACAGACAGACAGACAGACAGACAGACAGACAGACAGACAGACAGAGAGGCAGACAGATAGTAGACAGACAACTGGGATGCGCGGTAGAGCTCACTATCTAAACCGTGCGGTCTTAACCACTGGCAGAACCGTCAGAATTGGAACAAGAAATACAAGACGTTCGAAAATGTATCAGAGTAAAACATTTTTTTCACTCATCATCAAGTCAAAGTTCTGTTATGACTTTACAATAAAATAAACAACTTTCTCTCAATTATTCTATTTCTCCATCTCTGTAAACAATTAATAAAGAGCCGTGTCAAGAGCAGCAGCTACGACCATCCATAGGTAATACTTTTCTCCCCTTGGAAGTGAACACGCGCCGCACGTAGTAGGGTGGACATGATACTTCTGAACCACAAACTGTCCAGAGACAACAGCAGTTTCTCGGATCCAGAGGCAGAAACTCGACGCCATCGTATTCCGTTTTCAAAACTCTGCAATACAACATCGTTTCAAGACAGTTAACCTAAATAAAAATATTACCTACAACAGGACGCAAATACACATTCTCATTCTGCATGCAAAAAGGCTACTTAATTTTTCTTTAAAAACCAACAAACAAAAGAGAAAAACAGAAACAGACGGCGCTGAAAACTCATGCCCAATTACGGTGCCAGCAAACTAAACCACAAAGAAATTCCACAGAGTGCCTCCAGAAATGCTACTTTAACCGTCGACATCACATTCACACGGCACGCCGAGTTCGGAACCCAGTACGTCATAACAGGAACCGTATCCCTTTCAGAAGTGAACAGTGGGGAATTAGGGACGGTGGGGATGATATTTTTAAAACACGCACTGTCAAAACAACCGTCGAACACGGAACTTGCGGAAAACTCGAGACTGGATTGCTGCGACGTCGGTCCACAGGAGAAGTACGAAAACTAATAGACCTACGACCACAAGAGAAGACAGCAGCAACGCGATCACAGACGCAGCTGGGCTCGACAGCAAGAGCAGCAGCAGCAGCTACAGCACGGTTGGGCGGACAAAGCAGGCACTGGATCTGCTGAGGCAGAGCGAGAGGAGACCACTGACAGCGGCACGGTCCAACACCACCACCACCACCACCACGATCCTCAGCCACCGGCGGGCTCCGGTGTCTGTCCCGGGAACGCAGTCATATCACAGAAACACCCACAGAAACAAGAATATGAACAGAAGGCGTCTATAAATGATGTTACGTCTGTTACAAAATGACTCACTAAAAGTGGGCTTTACACAACGGATAGATATCCCCCTACACTGGTAACTGAGAATTTAAGGGCACTCTTACTATCACGACGTCTATTCTCCGGAAGTAAGAAACATTCACAATCTGATTTTGATAAGTCTCTTTTTTTAACACTGTAAGCTTATAATATGTTGTACAATACAAAGCAGCGGTTTTGCATACTGAAAAAAATAAATACGCCTCAGCCCGTTCTGTCCTTTCCAAATCTCGTAATTCTATGAGTATCATTTGCCAGACTGGCAGGCAGCTCGGGCCAGCCCCCCAGACTAGGAACAGGCAGGGGGTGCACTCATTAAATCACAGGGGCCTAATCTCCAGCAACACGCAGCGGTGTAGGGTTCCCGGCCCCTGGAGCAGGCCGACAAGGAACACTAGGTAAACGCCTTTTTATCTATCACCGGGACCAGGACTCGCAAAACTGCAAGGACGGGTGGGGAAGGCAAACACGATAGAAGGGTTG